CCACCCCTTTCTTGCTCTCTCCACTTCCTCTCTCCTCCTCTTTAGGCCTTTCTTCAGAGAGTTGTGGGACAGCCGGATCCCAACTCCTTTCTGCTTGCTGGGGCTTGGGTGAGTCTGTGACCTGTGACTCCGTTGCTCTGGTTGGCGGCTATAGATTCGTGTGAAAAGCAAAATGGTGTTTCATGTCTGCAGTTTCTCTCAGCGCCCACTGAGAGTCAGGCCCTGCTCCTCAAGGCTGGACATGCCGTCTGTTGGGCACAGCTTCTCATTTGGATGGACTATTTCTTTATCTCTTTTCTCAAGAACCCACGGGCTGCCTGGGGTTCCTAGGCCCTGTGTACTTGCTCAGGCCTGAGCTCAGGAGGAAGCAGGGAGGCCCTAAATAACACCCCTGGCCTGACAATCGATACTCCTGGCATATACAACTTGTCTTTTGTCTCCTCCTCCACTCCTCAACCCCCAACCCCTACCCCCATCCCCGGTGGCTTCCCTTTCCTTGTCTTCCAGAGAAAACATACCTTTTGGAACCTAATAATTAACTGTAGACTGAACCTTTACCAGGAAAAGAACCAAAAAGACTCTAGTCACGCACCTCCCTAATCAGTAACTTTTCTTTAGACCTGCTGAACCCAGAGTACCCAGTGGCCTGCAGATAAAGGCAGCTTGGGAGAAAGGCCGACCCCACCCCCAGCCAGTCTGTCCCCACAGCCCTCTGTCTGTACAGGCACAGGGCTCATGCCTGGAAACGCTTTCTGAACAAATCTTTTCTTTGTCCCAGCCGCACGTCCTCCAGCCGCTGGCTTTTTTGACTGGGTGTCCCTGTAGCTCCAGCCCCTAGGTAAATGCGCTTGGAGGAGGCACTGGCTTGGCCCCACCCACCCTCTCTTTTGGACTTCATCAGTGTTTTGTCATTCCAGGCTTGGCTGGAGGCTGAGGGGTGAGCTGGCAGGCATCCTAGGCAAATAAGAGCAGCTGGAAAGGAAAGAGGCCTTTGGGGTGGGAGGACGGACCTGACCCCCTACTTGGCAGAGCTGCCAGGCCTATAGGAAGGCCTCCATCCCAGGATTCCTGGCTCCTGGTCAGCATAGAGAATGCTGGGAGGAACAGGCCTTCGTGCCATGCTCTGTGCTGGGCATAGCTGCTTGTGTAGACTAAGGTTCAGTTTTGCAACCTGCCAGCTGTGTGACTTGGGGCAAATTGCTTAACTTCTCTGTCCCTCCATTTCTGTATCTACAAATAGGTGAAAGAGCACAACCTCCAGGGTTTTTTGTTTTGTTTTGTTTTGTTTTGTTTTTTTGTTTTTCAAGACAGGGTTTCTCTGTGGTTTTGGAGCCTGTCCTGGAACTAGCTCTGTAGACCAGGCTGTTCTCGAATTCACAGAGATCCGCCTGCCTCTGCCTCCCAAGTGCTGGGATTAAAGGCATGCGCCACCACCGCCCGGCTAAAATTATTTTTTATTTTATGTGTATTGCCTACATGTGAACCTCCAGGGTTTCTGAAGTCTCAGAGGAAGATTTGGGAGTGTGCCACATCAACACATTTGAGACATTCTGCCTCTCCACGGAAGACCCACAACAGGAGCCAACCTGTGTGTGTCCTGTGCTAACAGCTGTTTCTCTAGGCTCTCACTGGAACTTCCTCTAAGTAGACAAAGGACCTGTGTGTGAGTGTGAGTGTGTGTGAGTGAAACTGTGTATGTGTGTGAGACTGTATGTGTATGAGAGAGACTGTGTGTGTGAGACTGTGTGTGTGTGTGTGTGTGTGAGAGAGAGAGAGAGAGAGAGAGAGAGAGAGAGAGAGAGAGAGAGAGA